TTTTTAATGCATGTAACAAAGCACATTAAGTTTTCAAATGCCACAAATACATTACCTTGTCATTAAGATGCACAGCCTTTAAAATAATGCCCACTGACTATATTAAACACTAATCATTTCAAAATGAAATAGGACTTTAATACAGTTAGAATTCTTAAGCATTCAATTACTGTTTTCCTATTATTGGACAATAAATTAATTTCCTTAAAAGGATTACATAAATCTTGTTAATACCACATCGGTTCTGAGGCTGAATATAATTAATTTGGTTACAATTTTTAGATGCATTCCAGCCCACTCACACAAGTTACGGAACCTGAAAAAAAAATATTCTGAAAAAAAAACTATAGAAAAGAGAAAGTGTAATTGTCAGAAAAGATATAGTCAAGCATTTACTAAACTGCATATTCAGCTAAATGTTGTTAGCAGTTTTGCATAGAACGGGGAGGGGTCAGAACCCCTATTAGGTTTTTACTGTTAAGCTGTAATTTATCTGGAGAAATAATTATACCTCCCTGTTTATAGGGGTAATTTTCCAAAGGAGCAGAGGCTATTCACTGAACAAAATTGATGTTCACCTTGCAAAGTGAATGTCACCTGAACTTAGTAAATAACATGAAACTGTGTCTTCTTTAGTAAATCTACCCATAGACTCCTCAGTTCTATATTATATTAATCATTGTTTTAATGATGATGATGATTATAATTATTATTTCCAGAATGCCTAGTTTTTTAATTACAGAAGTCTGTTCTCCTCAAATTATAGAAAGAAGGCTTTGCTACAGATTGGATGCCAGAGCTGAGCATATTACATATGAGTTATTAAATAATTTTTTTAAACTTTGGACACTATTGGTAATCATAGGTATATAAATTGTTTCATTGACAATGCAACGTTGACAACATTTTTATTTCTTTCAATAATAACTGTATTACTCTACAACTGCAATATTATTTTAATCATGTTTCACTGCACAGGTTTCTTCTAATAACACTTTAATTAATATTTATAGGGAAATTCCAAAGAAAAATTTATATCAGTTAATGAACTGTTAATTGTATCCAGGAAACTTTGCAAATGTGCTATAATAAGAAAGACCACTCTTTTTACTTTAATCTCTTGCCACTCACGTACCACATATGTGTGGTGGCAAAGAGAGTGGCCTCTCTTTACTCCACTGCAGGTTGCGACCGAACGCAGCGGCATTGCATAGGGAAATGAAGTCAGAAGAAACATACTCCTCCATGGTTTCCTGGGTCACTGGGGAAGTGATCTGGTTGGATGCTGCCACCCCATATGAATCCACTGGCCACTTTGGGTCAGGAAAAATCTACTTAAGATCCTGGCTCCAGGGTTCAGGTCTCCCGTTTGACGGGGAAAGTGAATAGCGGTAGGCAAAGGTTCTAGATGAGTAGGGACAGGCTAGGGACACACCATCCTTCCTGGAATCCTCCCATTTGAGCACAGACCGGCCATGCCACAATCCGCCCTCTGAGACAGATGCTGTCAGCATATCTGGGACCTGCTCTATTCCACATTGCTGTTGAAACCAGTGAGCATTCCCAGTTGGGTGCCTTCCTGATGGACAGTTGTATCACTGAACTTTTCCTTCAATGCAATTTCTGTTTACTGTACTGTACTGTACTCGGCATAGTTACTGCCACTACACCACGCTTGGTGGCAGTCAGCAGGATATATCCCTTCTTGTAGCAGGTACGGAAGGAGGAACAAGGTTCATCATGGCACCAATATGATACTGTTTTTAGTGGCTCAAACATTCCTCTGGCTGAATGGGAGGAGAGTAAACAAGTGCAATTTGTTTTGTTATGAATCAAAATTTGGATGAAATTTTTGTTATTCAGAGATTTGGATGGCTCCACATTCCTGAATCACAACGCGATAGTAACAAATTTCAATGAATCTTAAAAAAAAGATGACAAAACAAAGTATCTGAATTTGAAAATAAATTTGAATTTGAAAATGAATTTAAATTCGAAATAGAAACATATTGCAATAAATACAGTAATGTATAAAAGTGAAATAAGCCTACTTAGGCTTCTTTATAGAGTAGAATGTAAAAGAACAGAATAGAATAGAAAAGAATAGACCAAAATAAAAAAGAATAGAATAGAAGAGAATATCCTAGAATAGAATAAAAATGAAAGGAATGGAAAATAAAAGATTAAAATAAAATAGAATAAAACAGAATAAACATAGTCATTTTCCGAAATGTGAATTTTGAATAGAATAGCATAGAGTAGAATAGAATAGAAAGAATATAGCTGGCTTCCAAAACGTGAATGTTATATTTCAAATATAATATAAGGAATATAGCAGTCTTCTGACATTTGAATTTAAAAAATAATAAAATAAAACTGAGTAGAATAGACTATCCAAAAATTAAATAGAATAGAATAGAATAGAGCATAAAAGAATAGAAAATAAACAATAGAATAGAAAAATTGAATAGATTAGAATAGAATAGAAGAATATAGCTGTCTTCCCAAATATGATTTTCAAATTTTGAATAGAATATAATAAAATAAAATAGAAAGTATATAGCTGTCTTCCAAAATTTTTATTTTGAATTTCCAATAGAATAAATTAGAAAGAATATAGTTGTCTTTTGAAATTCAAATTTCAAATAGAATACAGTAACATAGAAAGAATTTAGCCATCTTCCAAAATTCGAATTTCAAATAGAATAGAATAGAATAAAACATAATAAAATAGAAGATGTGAGGAAGACGAGCTTGTGCCTTGTCTAAACAAAATCTTCACTGTGTGTTAACCTCTCAAAACTTGCGTGTGCCGCTCTCTCTTTTAGATTGTATGTCAAATAAAAGAATGTAGCCATCTTCTGAATTTCAAATTTCAATTTTGAATAGAATAGTATAGAAAAAAATAGAAAGAATATAGCTGTCTTCCGAAATTCAAATTTCGAATTTTGAATAGAATAAAATAGAAAAATTATAGCCATCTTCCGAAATTCGAATTTTGAATTTCATTTTCAAATAGAATAGAATAGAATGAATATACCCATCTTCTGAAATTTAAATTTTGAATAGAATCGAAAAAAATTGTTAGAATTTAGTCATCTTCTGTAATTCGCAATCTGAATAGCATACAAAAAAATAAAATAAAAATTAGAATTTCAATTTTGAATAGAAAATAATGACCGTATTTTTCGCTCCATAAGACGCATTTTTTTCCCCCAAAAAAAGGGGGGAAAATGTCAGTGCGTCTTATGGAGCGAATATGGAGAATCAGGTCCGGTATTTCTTCTGCGCCACCGTGACAGAAAAACGGGCTTCTCAGCTCTTCTCTGCAGCAGGACCTTACCTGTTCCTCGGTCCAGCGCTGTGCAGTGCTTCCCGTGCCAACATCTTTAGTGTGGGAACCCGACTATGACAGCTTGGTGCCCACTGTGCATGCGCAAGATGTACTGCGCTTTGTGAATGGTCCGGCGTCTTCTGGGACACATGACAGGTCACAAAGCACAGCGCTTCTCGCGCATGCGCAGTGGGCAGCTGGGTGAACACACTAAAGGGAGGACAACTCTGCGGAAGTGGGAGCTGTGACGGGTGCGGCGTCAGACCCCAGCCCTTCTCACCAACTTGTGACCAAAGGACAAGCCAATCTAAAACAGCGCTGCCACTTGCGTAACAATGCCAGCTGCACCCTGCACAAAGATTTTCCAGCTCACTGGACCCCAATCTAGGTGCCAGCAGCCTGAGAGCAATTGTTACTGGGTCAGGTTAATTACGCGATTAACCCTTCACACTGCCACCACCACCTTTTTACAGAGAAGGAGGAAACTCACAAATCTTAGCAGTAACACTATGATGTTTGAATAAGCGTCTGTATACAATCTGTCACCGCAGACAGATATATCCAGAGGTTTTAAAACACAAAGTAGCACTCTTCAAAGACAGGGATTCTTAGTTTGCATTAAAGAGCTTTAGAAACAGTTCAACACTTTTCAGAAAATAGGATTTATTACTAAAAAGGTCAAAATGGTGCAATAAAAGTATTTACAGAAAAGATGTAAATATATATATAAACAGAGCAATAACACAACAGAGAGATAAAGGAAGATGTTTAAGAAGGTAGAATACTTGTAGAAGTCCTGGGTTTAAGCAGAGTTCAAGTGTCCTGAACAAAAGGGTTCCTTTTCTCCCAAAGTTGGTTCCTGATGTTAAAAGGGAGAATCTCTTTATCTTTCTCTCCAGGCATGACAGCCTTTTTTTCTAGGAACCCAGCAGGGTGTCTCCTTAAAGCAGAGAACCAATCACCTCATTTGGTGAGGGGTGTTTAGGCGGGGACTCAGGCTATGACCAAATCCCTCCCACGTTTATACCATGGTCAATAACCTTCTAAAGATACATGTAGCATCCTAGTCACTGGCAGATTAATATGCAGAATGATATCCTGAACGTCCAGACATCAAATATGACATATCTTACTGTTCCAGATAAAGACATATTGCTTTCTACTCTCGTGTAGGTGCCACATAGGGGTGTAAGGTGTCAGGTGACTCGTATTAAACTGACCTATCTGAATATATGCTTTGTTTTATTGTACCTTGTTCCTGTCGGGATTTATGAATTTGTATGAAAAAGTGGTTTCAAGTGGGATGTACGTTTTACTGCCACTCTGGAATGCTTTCATGTCCTGTGACTGACTGATTTATAGCTATAAGACCAGGCCAAGGCAAGAGTCTGACAGACATCATGGGACCAGCTAATTGGGTTTACAACCATGAAGCGGTATCCAGCTGTGCCCCGTGCACTCCTGAACTCAGCGCACACAGACAGACCACATTCCTTGCAAGGGAAGGGGGCTGGAGGGAGAGAGAATGATATTTGCAGAGTTTGATACAAGATGGTAGATCTTTTAACAAAATGGTTGTCCACGTCCAATTGCCACAGGTGCAGGTACCTGTCAAATTCAGGTACCCGCTCCCCCTCCTTCCCCAAACCAAAGATCTGCAGTCTCTTGGTCATCCCCTGTACTGTCTGCAGTCTCTTGGTCATCCCCTGTACTGTCTGCAGTCTCTTGGTCATCCCCTGTACTGTCTGCAGTCTTTTGGTTATCCCTGTACTGTCTGCAGTCTCTGGTCATCCCCTGTACTGTCTGCAGTCTCTTGATCATCCCCTGTACTGTCTGCAGTCTCTTGGTCATCCCCTGTACTGTCTGCAGTCTCTTGGTCATCCCCTGTACTGTCTGCAGTCTCTGGTCATCCCTGTACTGTCTGCAGTCTCTGGTCATCCCCTGTACAGTCTGCAGTTTCTGGTCATCTGTAATGTGTCCGCAGTCTCTGGTCATCCCCTGTACTGTCTGCAGTCTCTGGTCATCTGTACTGTGTCCGCAGTCCCTGGTCATCCCCTGTACTGTGTCCACAGTCTCTGATCATTCCCTGTACTGTGTCCGCAGTCTATGGTCATCCCCTGTACTATGTCCGCAGGCTCTGGTCATCTCCTGTACTATGTCCGCAGTCTCTGATTATCCCCTGTACTGTGCCCACAGTCTCTGGTCATCCCCTGTACTGTGTCCACAGTCTCTGATCATTCCCTGTACTGTGTCCGCAGTCTCTGGTCATCCCCTGTACTGTGTCCACAGTCTCTGATCATTCCCTGTACCGTGTCTGCAGTCTCTGGTCATCTCCTATAGTATGTCCGCAGGCTCTGGTCATCTCATGTACTATGTCCGCAGTCTTTGGTCATCTCCTGTACTATGTCCGCAGTCTCTTCTCTGGTTATCTCCTGTACTATGTCCGCAGTCTCTGGTCATCTCCTGTACTATGTCCGCAGTCTCTGGTCATGTCCTGTACTGTGTCCGCAGTCTCTGATCATCTCCTGTAGTATGTCCGCAGTCTCTGGTCATCTCCTGTACTATGTCCGCAGTCTCTGGTCATCCCCTCTACTGTGTCCGCAGTCTCTGGTCATTTCCTGTACTGTGTCCGCAGTCTCTGGTTATTTCCTGTACTGTGTCTGCAGTCTCTGGTCATTTCCTGTACTATGTCTGCAGTCCATTGGTTCAGAATATTTTTTTTACTTGTTTTTCTCCTCTAAAACCTAGGTACGTCTTAAGGTCAGGTGCGTCTTATGAAGCGAAAAATGCGATAAATAGTAAGAATATAGCTGTCAGCAAAGTGCTGGCCATAGTGCAAATGAAGGCTGAAGGCACATACAGATATGCAGGCACAGGCTACTGGGTGCTCACTTTGCAGGGCATAGCCTTGCACATATGCACTTGTGCACAGGCACGGTGGCACCCTCTGCTGGCACTGTTTCCAAATTAACTATTTAAGTGCAGTAGTTGTACTAGTCAGTGTGTCTGATCAAGAGCCCGGCCTGTGTTCCTGTGCCTGTTCCTGTATCTGACTCCTGTGATTGAACCGTCATGTCCTGACTACACATAAATGCTACTTGCCCTGACCTTGGCTCATCTCTGGACTCTGCTTGCGCTCTCCTCATCTGCCTGCTCCCCTGTGTTGTTGACCTTGGCCTTTATCCTGACCATTCTCTTTCCTGCTGTCCATGCCTGAATCTGACCATCTGTTGCTGACCTAGCTCATCTGACAATGACTCCTTCTAAAAAACATATACAATACACATGCAGCGCTAGAAACGTAATAAAAGCATAAAACATATAAAACATATGTGAAAAAGTCCAACTCTTTCCAGTGTAATATAAATAACCGTATGGTGGTTATATCATAACCTATAGCAGCAATCAAAGCACATCAGAATGAATAAAATAGGTAAATATACGCACTAAGGCGTTATGCAAATAGACTTGTGGTAAACGTCCCAAATTAGCATTTAAAGTTGCATAGAGTGAAGCAAAGTTCAAACAAAATAAAATCAAAATACAATCAGTGGAAATCCGTGATAGTGGTGTTAGGATAAATGGGTGTAGATTGCACTAACCAGAGAGCGCAAATCAAGGCGCATTTGAGTATATTAGGACCAACTCCTGGTCATCCACATCTGGTAAGTGGAACTCCGGGTCATCTAGTGAGCATCAGTTGGATAAGCAGCACACCATCAGGGCATCCAGGCACCAGGATTACACTCATTCAACCACCAGGGGGAGCCACACTTGTAGTTAATGCAGAGTCACCACAGATCTCCTTAGAGGGAAGGCTCATAACAAATGAGCCAGAGCAAAAAGAATTTCCATAGTGTAGTATTTCTTTATTAAATAATGGGGTAACAAAGTAGAAGCAAATTAACTCACATTTAAAAATCAATCTGACAGTAGTCAAAATGGCCACTGGCCGTCCACATGGGCCGTGCGGTGTGACGTCAGTCTATGAGGCAGCTTCCTAACATGTTTCGTGCACCTGCAATGAAATGAACAAGTGGCGACATATTGCAAAATGTATCTTTTTCTATTCTTTAAAAACAACCTCTTTTAGTGCCTGGATGCTGGATGGAGAGTGATGCTCAACTTGTCTCTTCAGAATTCCCCATAGGTGTTCTATTGGGTTCAGATCAGGAGACAGACTTGGCCACTGAATCACTTTCACCCTGTTTTTCTTCAGAAATGCAACAGTGGCCTTAGATGTGTGTTTTGGATCATTGTCATGTTGGAAAAGTGCACGGCGACCAAGGGCACTGAGTGATGGTAGCATCTTCTCTTTCAATATAGAGCAGTATATCTGTGAGTTCATGATACCATCAATGAAATGCAGCTCCCCAACACCAGGAGCACACATTCAGCCTCACTGAAAGACACTGCCACCATCATGTTTCACAGTAGGCACCATGCATTTTTCTTTGCACTCCTCACTTTTGCGACACCATACAGTTTTGAAGCCATCAGTTCCAAAAACATTTATCCTGGTCTCATCACTCCAGAGTACAGAGTCCCAGCAGTCTCCATCTTTTACAGCATGGGCCCTGGTAAATTTTAGGCAGAATTTTTTGTGAATGGGCTTTAGGAGAAGCTTCCTTCGTGGACAACACCCTTGCATGTCATTCCTCTGTAGTGTACGCTGTATTGTGAAGAGAAACTATAACCCCATTTGGCTTTTCTACTTCTTTAAATAACTAGCTGCAGTGGACTTGCATGGTGATTTTCTTCATCCCTTCTCTTTGGAAGATGCTTCTGTACACAGCCTGGACGTCTTTGAGATGGTTGCAGTTCCATCTTTGTTAAATTTTTGTATCACTTTTGCTACAGTATTCTGACTGACAGGTAATGCTTTGCTGATCTTCTTGTAGTCTTCACCTTCCTTGTGTAAAGAAATTACTTTCTTTCTCAGGCCTTGCAACATTTTTCTTCCATGTGGTGCCATTGCTGACAGCATGATATAGGAAGGGGTTTTCCTTGTTAAGTAACACCCTTTTATAATCAACTGTCTGCTGGACACCTGTTTAATGAATAACTAGACTCACCTGTAGTTGAATTCTTCTTCAATGTCTAAAATTTAGCAACATGGTCTTGAATGATTTTTTTAGGAAAAATACTTTTTCGTGTGTGCAAATTAACAAATCTTTTTTGCATTCAATGGCCTGCATTTGTGGGAGTATTTTGTAGTATAGTGTCCCATAGAAAATGTTGATTCTGAAAGAAAAGTAAAGGTTTTCTGACAAGTCAGTTGGGGTGTACTCATATATGCTGAGCACTGTAGCTGTCTTTCGAAATTCGAATTTTGAATAGAATAGAATAAAATAAAGTAAAATAGAAAGAATATAACTATCTTCCGAAATTTTTGATTCAAATTCAAATCCATTGGAAAAATTAAAATCTGGTCGAACATGAAACAAAACAAATTTTGTTACAAATGCAACAAAATGAAATTTGTAATCTACAAATCGATCACATTTTTTCATTCTGCACATGTCTAGAGGAGAAACTAGAAAGTGTTGCTATATCAGGTTCCTGCCCAGCTGGCTATTAACGCCTTAGAGGATGATGCTCTCATATGGTGATGGCACTGATGAAGAGTAACGGGCTACACTGGGTTGGATTGTAGCACACTTGGAGGGCCTGTTTGAAGAGAATGTAAAGGTCTCAGAGCTGAAGAAGAGATTCTTCTTCAGGATGCAAGAAGATGAGAGCCACATTCACTTTGCAGTAACACCCCAGACCAGTTCATAGAGGCAATGAAAGCTGGCCCAGTCAGGACGGCCCTGCAAGAGTGAATTAGAACACAACCGCCATCTATTTCCATGACATTGTGGTGTACACGGTTGTGTGGAAACAGGAAGATGCCGAAGCAACCGTGGCAGTGACAAAGAAGTATGATCTAATGCACTTGAAAGAGGAGGCCCTAGCTCCATAACCCCTGTCAGCTATACAAATGACCAGGACTTTTTTCAGCATGAACGCATTCCGGCATCTCCAGAAGTGAATGTATGTACTGGCAAGGAGTAGTGGAATGTGCTGAAGGGTCTATTGTTCTTGGCTGCTGGAGGTTTATTGCCACTGGGGGGGGGAAACAATTGTTGATAGGAGGTCAATTGTTGATCTAAGGGACCTACTTTTGAAGGAGGGGTCTATTGTTGCTGGCGGCTGGGAAATGTGTTGTTGCTGGCAGGGGTGTATTGTTGCTGGGGTGGATCTCTTGTTACTGGGGGTAGTCTAATGTTGCTCTTAGAAATCTATTGTTGCTGACTGCAAGGGATTTATTTTACAGCGTTTCTTGTTATTTGTATGGAATTTGTTAATAATTACTTAGCAACACAAAATTATATTTTGTTCTGTACTCTCTAAAAGGGGCAGTACTGGGAGGTGGGTAGGGGGTGGAATCAAGGGATGGTGCTTGCAGGTGGGTAATGGGTGGAGACAAGGGGTGACTCAGAAAGGGGGGGAGCACCTGCACCTATTCTCCAAGAAAAAAAGCCCTCCAAACAACATTGAGGGAACTTGCACAAGATGTGGCCTCCTTTAAACAGGAAATGTCCTCCTTCAAATGGAACTTTGCCCATTCCTCTAAGGGTGAGAATCAATTGCGCAGGGACCCCAACGAGGACCAGAAGTGTTGGTGGTGGGGCTACTATAGTCATGTACCTTGCCTGGGAAATTTCAGCTTTGAGACTGCGTTAGTCTATTTGGATGAACATCATCTTCTCAAGACTTTTGAGGACCTTGGTAATCACTTGGTTCACACGCCTCACACAGTATCGGTTAAACATTAAACCCAGTAAATTTAATTTGATGAAATGGAAGATCCAGTATCTGGGAAACATGCCCAGACCTTGCCAAGATCAAAGTGGTGCAGGACTGGCACCCCCCAAAGACAGTCACTGAGCTGTGTTTCTTTTTGGGACTGGTGGGTACTACCACTGGTTAATTCTGTTGTTCACCCAAATAGCCGCCCATCTTAACCAACTATTGAGTGAGCATGCCACCCAGAAGAACAATGGATCCTCATCTACCATTCAAGCCCAGTGGCAGAGCACCCTAAGCAGGCCTTAGAAACTCTGAAACAGAAATTGACCTCATCACTATTACTGGCCTATGCAGACTACTGCAAACCCCTTC